TGAGCCTTATTGAGTAGAAAAAAAGTGGAAACTTTTAAATCAACCTGAAATCCCTTATGTGCAACTCATAAATACTGATATCAGCACAGCATTTAATGCAGGGCTTCTTGTCTGCCAATTTATCCCATTCTTCAGGTTTTAAAGCTTCAGAATTGAGATTCACCAGTAATGTCCGCCGACCATCTGATGATAGACTGTATTAACAACCAAAGATTGCAATTATCACGTTCCAAACAAGAAGTTAAAATTTCTAATGCTATGTTCTGACTGAAACTACACGTTGATGAAATCTACACAGGCACAATAAAGGAAACAGTCAGCATACCCTCTGGAATAAGGATCATTTGCATAGCATTTTTCAACTTGCAAGGTGGTCCAATGATAAACGCAGACTTCATACACATAGTAGCATCCTTCCCAATCTTTGGGCGCTTGAGCAGTCCAGACACCTTCAACCTCCTCTAGGGCCACAATTTCAAATGGATCCCCACCCAATGGTTCCCTATAAAGAAAAGCTCGTACTGTCTACTCTAGAAAGCAAACGGGGAGGAAATAAGAAAACACCTTAGCACCAAATCAAACTTCAATTACACATCAAACACAACAAATACTTCAAGATCGACATACTTGAGCTGTCGGCGCCCAAAGGTAAAGAGAGATAGCCTCTTCTGAGAAAACTGCTCCTAGAGGACCGGTGTAAGCAAATAACTCATCAAGGACACCAGGTAACTGCAAACCAGTGGCATCGCAGCATCTTCCATCAGCTGTTACATGAGAAGAGAAATAATACAGGCCAATTACTTCTGACTCCACCAGTTCATAACAGGCAATAGGTTTTGTGTATTTGTCTCAGTTAAACATAGAGTTAGAAGTCAAAGGTTGTGAACCAAAATAATTGCACTAGCTAATGCAATATCAACGCATCAAGCAACCTGCCTATGGAAATGGGAAGAGCATCACCCGGCAGACTTTTCGTACTTAATGAGAAAGCAAGAATAGTAAACTACGTTCAGGCAAGAAACCATCATCTGTAAAGCATCATTGGCTGCCACAAAATCATAATAGTAAGAAGCTACTCCAAAATTAAAACCACAGGGACAATAATGACAGGCAGAGACAACTTTGACGATGGTAAACAAATAGTTTTGCCTGAAATATATATACTTTATTTACCTGACTTACATCTAAATATGGCAACAGCTAATTGGCATTTGAGGAGAGTTTTGGCATCCAGAGCAGGAGGGAGTTCAAAAGCTCCATAATCTTGAATATGTGGAAATTTTTCGATTACCTAATATCAAAAGTTCAAGAAATCGTTGACACCTATAAAAAAAGCCAAGCAAGGATAATTATTTGGTCAACAAAAAACAGAGTTCACATTTGCAGGAAGAGGACCACCAGCCCTTTCAAGTTTTATCTTCACGTCATAACCTGCTATTACGCAGAAAGAATTAGCTTGCAGAAGAAAACTTAGTAGGATATAAATTAGGATTTTCCGAAACAAAGATTAAGATGGTTGAAGCCATATTTAGTACAATGCGGACCTTGAATGCCATCATCTGTAACAGCTAACGAAGCGCATTTACTGGCATACAAGAAGCAGGAACCGTCTTCAATGTCCACATTCCAAGCAATCAAAGATTTATTAACCCAGTAAGCCCTAGAGTGGAGTAGGCTATCCTGCAACTGACCATCATCCCAGGACATATCAAAAGTATAAATTTGCAAGATACTTTCCATATGAAAATAATGTATCAAGAGACATACAGGATTATACCAAAGAAAGAAAAAATAGTACAGAACACACTTCTCATGGTACTGTATTCCTTGAACTATATCCATGCCTAGGAGGCCAAATGTAAAAAAGCTACTTCATCAGCAAGTAAAACCCTACCAGAGGGTTCCAATTACAAGACCATCATCTTCTGCGGATATATTACAGCTACAACTTTACTCCTGATCTCAACAGTCAAATGCAAACTTCCAATCTCCGCCTGCCCACCCAGTTCTATATGCAGATTAGCCCGAACAGCCATTCTTTTCACATCCTTCTCTTAAGGAGGGAATGCAATACCAGGCCAATGCAAATTCCCAAATGCACATAGGAGATCAGATTTGGGACAAAGTTGCCTAAGTTCTCAGACTTTAACAAAAAATTTGACGTATTGTCTTGACCAATTAGCACTTGCAAACGAAACAGACTCGGCGCTACGTTACTTCTTTCAGCATTTTCCAATGCCAAGGGCGGACCAATGAGGAACTGAGGGAGAAGAAACTAGTTTGCTGGTAATTCATTCATTTGATTTTTGTTTTCATCCCGGAATCAATTTTCTCATTCAAGGGTGTTACCTGGAATCCTTTCTCGATGTGTGTAACATCTAGCAAGGTGTCCAGGTGGCTCCATTCATATCTCACCCTTTTTCTTCGCACTGAACCCCCCTTAGAAAGTAACAAACATCCACGCCAGCAATAGCACGTAAAGGAATAAGGTCGTGTCCTCGTTCCAGAAGTCCCAAAATCTACTCTTTTTTCACCTTCCAAAAGCTATCACCGTTTGTAAGGCATAACTAAAACTGCAAAGGCATTAACTTTCCTTTTTCCTTTCTTTCAGAACTAGAGGAAATTCCATTCTTTAAACAGAAGTTTGAGATCACCCTCAGCTTTCGTTTTAGTTATTAACATAGTCACGCCTTGTCGGGCACTCAATTTAAGCTGTCATCGACTTCCGGCTCCATGAAGAAGGCAAAATTACAAGACCAGAGTGGCTGTGGGCTAAATCTTGAGATGTAGTGAAAACCAAAACGAGGGCCATGGTCTCAGAGAAGAGAGAAGGTTGAACCTGAGACGCGGGAGTGTCTTCTTGAACGGACATGGAGGAGCAGCGAAAGGGGTGTCTGTGGAGGGATTTGGAGAGTGATGGGAGAGCCAAAGAGGGTCTGCTTCTGGTGGCAAAAAGATGGAGTCTTGGACATGGAAGACGCTTGTGATGGCGGGATGGCGACAAGGGAACTGGACATGCATGGCAGCGAAGCAAGGACATCTGGGTGCTTGTTGCAGAGTCCCAGTTGGAGAGATGGAGTTGCCGGTGGCACTATGGATGGAATTGTCACTCTTTTTTCTTTTTTGTATTTTCATCACTTATTTTCCTTTTTATTCATTTTTCTTTCTTATTTCCTTTTCCCTATATTCTATCTTTTGGCCATCAGATCCAAGATAACTTGGGTTAGATGGTTGACTTATATCTTATAGATTGCTTCAGCTAATACATGAATGTATTTTATATTTGATGTGATTAAATTGTAGATGGAACTTAAAATCGATCATTATAATAGCTTCACTTTTTAAAGCTTAAAGCTTGGAATCATAATAACCATATTATTTTATGATGCAATTCGATCAATTCCATTAAAGAACATCTGAGCCTGAACAATCAATCTTTAGATTCACCTAATATAGAATAGTTTATATGTTTCAAGGATGTTCATAACACTGAAAATTTTGAACAATAAGAGTTTAGGAATAACGCGATTTTTTATCTTGTATCCACAAATGCGCATGATGCGCTTTTCAAGAAAAATAGTCTATGATATCTCATAATAAACCAATCTCCATGAATACCATACCAACATACCAAAAGCATTGATTTCTCATTCTTGGACCTCAAAATTCAAAGAGAAGAACTCGAGATAGCGATAGTAGTGACAAATCCCTTTTCTTATCCTCACAAAGAGTAGGAGTAATCTTTATCTAAACTCCCTCAAAAGTGAACATCGATCGCAAGATCTAATCCAGCAGAATACTTTTGATGGGATATTCAAGCTATAAATAATATGTTCAAGAGATTTTTCGAAAACTTAACGCCGTACATTGAATCCGTAACGAAACGAGATTTACTAATTCATATAATTGTTTATCAGAAAGGGCTAACAAAACAGAGACGAAGTAAATAAAAATAAATAACATTAAAACAAGCATGATTTGGTGTGAAGTGACTAAAGCTCCACGAAACATTTTCCATCTGATCCAATGTAGAATGTTGGAAGCAGAAGCCCCTCCTTAGTCGCACATAAGAATGATGCAAAAGGGCAGGTCCTCAACTGAAAGCGCGTGGGACCTCCTAATCTACCGTATAATCCTGGCTCGGCGGCATGTGCATCCCCATGATAATCCTCATAAGCCGTTCAAAGAAAGCAACCCTCTCTCCTTTTTAGCCCCCCCTCAGCTCCTACAAAAATCCCCCCCTTTTGACTTATTGCATTGGTGATGATTTCCTCCTCTTCATGTGGACTATTAAGATGTTTGTTCTGCTGTTTTTTGGAAAAAATTTAGCGTTCAAAATCTCCGGCCTTTCTGATTAGCGGACCGATACCGCTAATCACGAAAATACTCTGAAAGAATTATTGAAATGTGATATCTGATCTTCTCCATGCCCGTGAGCTCGTACGATGTGAGTTATATTTTTGCAAGAGTGTCGTTCTCGATCGATCGAGTAAAGATCGTTAGAGTCGGTTGTTTCTGGTAATGATAATTCTGTTAATCTTTTTGCTGGACTGGATTAAACATAAAAAAAAAAAAAATTGAAGAGATTTTGAGATGGTTACACCCCAGAATCATTTTCATTTCTCAGTGCGATACTGCTTTCTCTCTAAGTGATATTAAATTAGTGAAGTCACGATGATGGTGAAGTCCAATTAGATGCAGTTTTAATGGCAGACACCAAACATGGAAGGAAAATTTCTGGGAAGATTTATGATGGCATGTCATGTCCACACACACTCATCATCACCATCATATCATATGCTTTAACACATCCAACAGAAAAGCTAAAAAGCAAGTGGAGAAAATCATAGCATTGTTCTTTTTTTCCCCCACGAACACCCGAAGAGGGTCTCAGAGTCCCAAAAGTTGGATTCAGAAGTTAGCAGAGCCAATACATGGTGGTATTAGATTTCCCCCCCTACTAATCTGAACAAGTTAAACCAGAACTCTACACACACATATATCCACAATTAGTACACTTCATACTGAACAAGATTGTCAATTTCCATCTTGGAATGTAAGTTAAAGATCCCTCTTTTGTAATTCTAGGAGAGACTTCTAAAGTGAAGCAAAAAGAGCCACCCACTTCGTCATTCTAGGAGAAAAAAAGAAAAAGAGCACACTAAAGTTCTAGTTTTTAGTAACCACTCGCTCTTTTATCAATGTAAAATGAGCTTCTGATGCTTGTTCTTGGGGGATTCAGAGGTTTCACTGCATTCCGAACTCCTCTTGTTACCGAAACCGCCATTGAACTTTGCGCTGGAGCTCGGAGAAGGAATGGCCACAGGAGGAATCTCAGTAGAGTCAAGTGGCGGTGGTGGGTGCTCCCACCGAGGCAGGGGACCTGCCAGGAGAAGCGTCTGGAGGAGCGGCCCTGCCTCCATCACCGCCTGCAATAGCTTCCCTTTGGGCGGCAACGGCTTCTGGACCGCCAATTCCGAGGTCACTGTTGGCACTGGCGGGACTGGCGGCGGCGACGGAGACAGTGGAGAAGTACTTACTCCGGAGGAAACCAACATTGCTTCATCGTTGCTACAAGAAGTTTTGCGTGGCGATGGAGCTGCGGCTAATTTTGGTTGCTCTTTTCTGCTTGACTTTTGTTGTAGGATAAGTTTCTCCAATTGCAGCTCCTTGCATCTGGATTGAGCCTCATCTCTCTCTTTCAAGGTCCTGGTCAGCAAATCCTTGATTTGAACCATCTCTAGCTCTCTCCTTGTGATCTCCTCCTTGGCTGAGGCAATTGTGGTCTGTAGCTCCAAAGTAGTGTACAGGAGAGCTTGCCTCAGTTCCTCCATGCCCTACAAAAGATTGAATTGCAAAGACAAACACCCTTTAGCACAAACCTGAGGAAAAGATAGAAGAAGCTTTGTGACCAGAGTGAGTACCAGGAGGCAATGTGAATCACATGAGCAGGACATGAAGAAGAAAGATGCAATTTCCATGGCTCTTTCATGTAATTCTTCTTACCTCTTCCTGGAAGCAGAATTCCCAGCTAAATGGGCTGCATTGGTCTTCCATAGATGGTGAAGGACGTTTGGCGTGAGAAAGAGTTGAGTGAAAGAATGTCTTGTGTTGGTTTCCGGAGGGATACTCGAAATGAGGGTGTGCTCTTCGCTACTTATCAGAAATGTGATCCTTTATTTCCACTGTTGGCACTTTCCTCTCATTCCCTCTTTTCGCTCTTTTCTTTTCATACCTAAGCTTGGGACAAACAGAACAAACAAGAATGCTACAAGGGACAAAAGGACAGTAGTATATACTCTACACCCTTTGGAAGATTATTAGTAGATTCTATTCTGTGTACACATTAGTAGGGATGTGGCAACTTGAGCATCGACTGTTCCTGATCTGATTGTAGCATCTTTAGCATCACCATCTTGGCATGTGCGCCTCCAAAGGAGGTTTCTCCATCATGTTATCGATGCCACTGCCCATATTCCTCAACTTGATCCAGAAGAACACACGACAAGTGAGTTCATTCTACTTTAACCAAACACCTTTGCACAGCACCAGTTCATAGACTGAGGCAAGGTGGGCAGATAAGTGAAACCCTGATTGCTTTCCTTTCTGCATATTTCTCTGCAGAAAATGGAAGAATAAACCACAAAGGAGATGTATTAAGAAAAATTATTTCCCACATTTATCTTAGTTTCCTCAAAATAAAAATCAGCTTCATTTTCTGCTTACTTTTAATTGAGAGACTCTTTTCATTAATACACTTCATTGCCAGATTAGTCAGAAGAAAGTTGTACCAATATTTTTTTTTATAGAAAATCCTCTCATTTGTGCAATAGAGTGATACGGGTTTGTGTATAGATATAGATTAGATGTGTTTTAGGACTCATACATATGGATTCACACGCTTGTAGGGATTAGAAATTTAAGTATAATTTAAGGGGGAAATTGCATGGGAAGTCTTAAATCATGTGCATGGAATGCAATCAAGTTATAAACCTTTCAATGAGTTCAATTACGGCCTAAGTCATTTTTCAAAAAATGTAATAAAGTCCTTTCGATGAATAGTACCTAAAATTGCCCCCATGTTACTCAGAATATTTATGTGGCATCCTTAAATTGCACTTTTTAACATAATCTTAGTAGTTAATGGCATTTTTTGGATAATGATTGAGGACTTAATCAAACCAAATGGAAAGTTCGAGATTCGGTTGTACCTTTTGGAAAAGACTTATGACTCGATTGAACCGATCGAAAGGTTTATAACTCAATCGCAATCCGTACATATGATTGAGGATTTCCAGTGCAATTTTTCCTGACTCGAGAGCGAACGAAGCCGCCGCGGCATGTTCTTTTAGAGGGAACAGAGGAAAATTCAACAAGGGGTGGTGTGATCATGATTGGTTAAGGTCCAACAGTTGGGTGAACAATGAAAGCCGTTGGCCGATCCCATTGTAATTTTCCTTACACAGATCGGTGCCTAGGATTTCTTTTTTGACTCTCATGCAAGGAAAAAGTATACAACATGGAATCCCCAATTCCTGAAGCATTAGACACACACGCCCAATTCTTTGACCAGAAAAACAAAGCTTCAATCTTGTCCAACCCCAAAAAAGGAGAACAATTGGAAAATCCCACATCACTTTTTTTTTCTCTCCATTTAAATTTTTTTTCCTTTACTAGTAGGTTATCTAGCTTTATCATTGAAATGGGTCTCGATAAGCTCCTAATCGCTTCCATTTCTAACTAAATTTCGACGGTTCTCGAGTTTATGTTTCCCCAGGAAATTTTCTTCTGAAAATGCTTTTTTCCAACTTTCTAATTTCGGCAATTTATGAGGACGACTGACGTTATTACGATTCGTGTGCTGTACCAGCATGTGCAACTCGAAACGCGATCCTCTCGTTGGAGCGAAAGTAAGCAATTTTTTTTCTACAAATGCAATCGAGTGCGTATTTTGATGCATGCAGCTACTTCTAAATCATCAGTCAGAGATGTGAGGCAACCGAAATTTCCCACCAAATCTTTTTTTTTTATCAAAGTGATCATGGTAGGGTCCTTAGGGACCCCCTTTTTCAGGACAAAGTTATCTTTAAATGGCAAAAAAAAGGATAAGGTTCTGTATTTCGATCAATTCAACATCGCAAAAATTAAAAATAAAAATAAAAATGAAATAGGTAAGGGATTGTGCGATTTTTTCTTAACATGGATTTGACACGCGTAATTTATCTAAGCAAATTAAGTATTGGGATCTTTCGCCGTACATTGATTCACCGGTGTCTATTTAGTCCTCTTCAAGCTGTTCATTTCAAAGTAACTAGTGATCACGCGTCGCGTGTTCATTTCACCGATACTACATTATAATCACGAGAGCAAGACAGTGCATAACATTAACAAGACATAACATCCCGTGCCCGCTTTCCCTAAATTAAATAAAATTACCGGTACAGAAGTGTCTTTTCGACTTTAGATATCGTATCGAGCCATCTCATGTCAGTACATTATGATCACCACAGAATCTAAGGGAACCTCTATTTAAGATTTGGGGGGGTGATTAAAGAATTCAGCATGGAGAATCGAAGCTTTTTCAGCAAATAATTTCGTGAATCTTTTCGTGGGTGCTCTAGACGCGGCATTGGAGGTGCCAAAAAGAAAGCGTTATTGTGTTTTTTTAAAGTGTTGATCGCTTAAAGATCAAACCTTTTTCGGCGAACCTCTTGTTTCTTCTTGCTGCATGTGAGGTCGTGATGTCTGCCGGGGCCCGCGCGTCACTTCGGCAACAACAACAACAACAATAACATCGTAGGGGGAGGATAAGGTGAGGTGCAGGATCGAGCGTTGACTATTTGGGCGTCCGAAAAATTGGAAAGAATTGAAGGTTCAAAGATCAAAACCCGAAGGCAGATTGGGCCTCGAAATTCGATTCTAGGTAAAAGAAGAGGACTTGTTTGGTAGTTTTAATACCGTTGAGCCCAAATCCATGTTCCGTCCTAACCCGACTTGATGCATTTGTTCAAAGCACAACTCTCGACGACCCAAGACCTAGTCCCGTCAAATGGGTGGGTCGAATCAGGTCGGTTTGGGACAAGTCGAAAATGGTCCGATCCATTTACTCAATTTCATATATGATAATTCTTATGACCATACTCGATCCAATCCGAATCCATATCCGACCCGTATTATTTTCCTCTCTCTATTTCTATTTTCTTATTCATCTTCTTCTGACCTACTTTGTAGTGAGGCGAGCTTACATCGAGCTCCTTGTAGTTAGGCTTGCTCATCTCACAACTCATTGAGTCTACCAAAGCCAATCTCATAGCGAGTGAGTCAATGCCGGCGTCTTCCCCCACCGCCTTACCCGCGCTTGACATTGCCGCCATAGCCTCAACCTCGAAGAATTGCAAGTCGCTTCGCTCTATCTCGCTAGATCCTGTCACCTCGTGATGGTTTTCGAGCAATGCAAGAGGTTGCAAACTAGCCAACGACTAGAGAGAGAGATAGATGGAGATTGGATCACTTGGTGAGAAGCAAAGAAATGTTGGAAATAGAAAGCGAAGAACACTGTCGAGAGAGAGAGCGCTACGGAGGTAGAGAGAGAAGCTCTTTAACTTATGCTGATGAACGATGTGCTCTCTCTCTCTATGAAGAAGAAGATGATGATGAGGATTGATTATGATTTTGTGCTATATAAGACGGATCTAGGGCTTGCTTGAGCTCGATCGACCAAGCTCAGGCTCAACAACGACAGGACGAGCTGCAGCCGAGCAAGAGGAGACCAGAGGCAAAGGCATCAACCGAGAGATAGGCGTTGGTGATGGAGATTGTAGCTAGGGCCTCGCGGAAAGTAGAAATCTACTCTTTTTTAACTCTTTTTTTTCAATGTGTAAGCTTGGGGATTTAATAACTTAACTTGGAGCCCTAAACCCATTTATGACTCAACCTAGACTCAGAAGCTTACAAATTGAAAAAAAAAAGTTTAAAAAAAAAAGTGAACCCATGTTTCAATTGGGCTCTATTGTAATAAACACATATCAAACCCATATTAAAGCTTCAACTAACCCATTTTCTACCCAATTCATTAAATGTGAATTAGATTATGGTTCATCGACCCACTCTGCCACCCCTAGCAAGACCTAACGCGGGTCTAGCCACCGCTCAACTTTACTCACTGTTCGGGTAGGATAAGAAGATGTCGATTGAGCCATCATGATTGGACTTGAATAAGACCGTTTAAGTCGAATACTGAGCTGTGCTCGATCTAACTCACTTGTGATCATATTTTAGAGAAGGATAGAGTTGACAAGAAAAATTACACTTATTTTGAAGTTCGAATAGACACATACTATGCCGAATTTCTTCTCCTTCCTCTAAGACCTTCCCACGACAAATGTCAAATTAGCTATAAGAATAGATTGTGAAGAATGCATTTACACAAGAATATCACGGGCCTCTTTTTATCAAATGTTGACCGGTACGTATTTGAAGCCCATCTGGCAATCATCAAGGCCCATGTCTTCAATTGACAGCCGAACAGCTAGCAGCATAATTGATGAAAATTTTATCAGCCAAACAACTAGCAGCATTCTGACCAAAAAAAAAAACAAACTAGCAGTATAATTGATGAAAATTTTAAAACCATTTTAACACTAAAATATGAAAATTTAAAAATGAGCTTAAATTTCAAATATTGTTGTAATAAAATAAAAACCATCTCAAAAGCCAAAAAAAGTTAAAAGAGAATAGCTAAGAATCAAAATCACCCTGTAAAGCAGTCTCTCAGAATTATTATAGCTGCGTTTGGTTCGGCATTTGGGGAAATGAAAAACTTTAGATTAAAGGGGTTTTTTTTAAATAAAACTAATTTTTGGTAAAGTGTAATTGAAAAGTGCCTTAAAAATCAATATTGTTTTAAATTTTATTTGGAGAAAACTAGACTTGTCAATGACTTTAAGTATGTATTTCGAATAAGTAAGCGAAAGAAAATCTACTTGTGATCGCAGAACGCTGGTGGGCCAAATTCGGCGCCGGTGGCCATTGCTTGAAGCCGCACGACATCAGGCGATCCCCAATAAGAGATGCCGGTGTCGAATCTAACTCGCCGGCGTCAAATTTGGTTCATTGGCGGTCATATATGACCACGCCGCCACCAAGAGTTGGTGAGGGTAAAATTGGAATTTCGAATGTTTAGCGAGGACAAAGTTGAAAAAGAAATACATTAGTATTCCGAAAATGCTCATAGCCCAAAGCTGGGGTTGATCTTGCATTGCGAAAAGTGCCTTTAGAGGACTTTGTAAATGCAACCTATCTCCTAAAGCTCTCTAAAAAAATTTGCCAAGCACCTTAAAATTTGTCTGAAAATCTTTAGAACCTCAAAACCCATTTTTAAAGCCGAACCAAACACACCTACAACATTATAAAAACGGCTTTTGAAGGGCACTTTTCACTGGATATCAAATTAAAACATATGTTTTCAACACCACTTTTTTTTTTTTTTTGGGTGGAGAGACCTTTGAGAACAACTACTTAGCATGAAACATAATGCTCTCGTGGGGGGACACATATGGGGGCCCACAACTCGTGAAGAAAAGGGAATCGGAGACGTCAATTTTACACGATTATACCATCAACATGTTACTTTTGTTTTTCCAAAAAGTCATGAGCATTTCTCCCGGTTGAAGCGAAAGATCATATGCTTTTGGCACGTAAAGTACAGATTTTGTGCATGACCCACAACCTTAATCCACCTTCTTTAACGATAATCATCATCATTAAGACAACTCGTTATACTTTTCTTAAGTATATTCGCATGCTAACCATGAAATAAGCATTGTTAATGCATGCACAATCATGTTTTTGAAATTCAATTTAGCCAATGGTGAGATTTCGTGTACACGAGAAAAACGAAAAGAAAAAGAATAAATAGACTCTTAATAAATTGACCCTTTAAGATTAAATTGCATGTACTTTACATTTATAACCTCTTTCGAAGCCGATTTTGTTGAAAATAAACTAACAAAATTAGAAAAGGGTTTCGGACTTTGGTCGTCCTTTTGCTTCTTAACGAGTCCAAATTTGAAGTACTTATCAAGATTCCATTTCCGATTGATAAGTAAAACTGTGGATTGCATTTATGCATGATCGCTCGCGATCGCGATGGTCGGACGCCAAATTTGAATAAAACGTCGTCAATTTCATATGTACAAGTTAATGTATAAGATTGATTTTCTCCCGTCAGACGTAGACATGGCATGCTTTTTCCTTCAAACCGAGAGCGACGAGCCAAATGGAGAAGGTAATTGGATGAAGGAGACACGACATGCTTTTCCTTGAATCTTAATTCAAGTCAAATGAAACATTAATTATGGTAATTGTGGTGAAATAGAGTGGGGGGAATTGGAGGAGGGCATGCCTGCCTAGCAAAGACAAAAAAAAAAACGAAGAAAATAAAAGTTAGCTCCAGGAAATTGGAGAGTGATTGGTCGCGTCACACTTTATAATTCTTTTGACTTCCGATGCAACGAGGATTACATTTTTTTTGTATCCATAAAGCGGTTGATGAGAACTCTGGATATAAAGTGGTCGCTCTTTAATGTCATCCAAGACTTTTGGTTGGTAATAATTCATGTTATAATACGCGATACATGATCAAACTTTTTATTCCGAACGGGAATCATGGGAGCGTCCAAACCTTTTTCCATACGATGATGGATCGGGCGGTCCTGGACGACATATGACCCGCATTTATAACGGGTCTAATTAGTCGATGAACTGCGATTAACTGCCTTGAAATCTTTTCTTTATCAGTAGAAGCTACCATCTATCTTCTTCTTCTTTTTAAGGGTTAATACCATGAAAAACCCTAAAATAGTACACATGTGATAAATTTACCCAAAACTAATTTTTTGGCCACCAAAAACCCTAAGTTGGTACACCTGTGACAGATTTACCCTCCATTAGTTTCCATTAAATTTTACTGTCAAATTACTGAGTTGGATGACACGCGACAATTGACGGTTGTACCGATTTGGGATTTTACCCTCCATTTATCATAGGTATACCGATTTGTGATTTTTCGTGATATCAATCTAAATTAATAGATACTAATGGAGGGTAAATTTATCATGAATGTAATAGTTTGGGATTGGGGTATATTTGTCAGAGGTGTATTAGTTTAGGATTTTTGGTGGTCAAAAAATTAATTTAAGGTAAATTTATCATAAGTGTACCGGTTTGTGATTTTTTTGTGGCATTAAATTTTTTTTTATTGACTTTGGTTTTCATGTTACTAAGTTGTGTGGTTTGATTGTTGTGAAGATGCTGGGGATGGTTGACTGGTTGTTAGGGCTTTATTGGTCTTGGTGGCGGCATCCCCATTTTCGGTTTTTGACGGTTTGGCAGAGTTAATGTTGTCCGGGAGACAAGCCCATGTTAGAACTCAGGACTGCTTTACTGCTTTTGAGGAAGAATAATGGACAAAATCGAAAGATTTTGTTAACTAGTGCTTTAAAATTTAGGGGTGAGCGATTTCGGGTTCCACCTAGAACCTAAAACTTACTTTCGGGTACAGATTCCTCATTTTTTGGAACCGAACCTGGAACCTACCCGTTGAAATCTGAAACCTAGAACCTACCCTATCACAGGTTCTAGGGTAGATTCCAGGATCTAACAGGTTTTTTTTTTTTTTTCATTTTTAGTTAAACGAAACGAAAATGAACGTAACAATAATGAACAAGCTTGCTATTCACCAAAGAGAATACAAAAGACTAGTTTTCCTAGCATTACGGCTTAAACAAATACAATCCCCTATCAAAGGTTCCAGGGTCGGTTCTAAGGTCTACTCAGGTTCCACCTGTATTATTAATTGAACAATTACAGTAAAATCATCACATTTAATGATTAACATTTGCTACTATGATCCACTTATCACAACTTTTTTTAGACACACGAAAAATATTAAACATTAACAAGTCATTAAATGAAAGTTCAAAGTAGTGATTCCAGATTATACACCCATCATCTAACGTCATGAAACACTGTAGGATCACGTGAAGACATAGATCAAGAAAAAACACAAAAAACTTATTTAGGTTTCAGGTTCCAAGTTCTAGGTTCCGCCTATCTAGAATTTGAAACCTACTTGTCGAAACAGGTTTCCCAATTTTTGGAACTTAGAACCTGAAACTTATCCTGCATACTTTGAAATCTAGAACCTATAAGTTCCTACCGGTCAGGTTTTCAAGTTTCAAGTTCTACCCTGAAATCATGCTAAAAATATCCATTAGCTAGTTAATTAAGAATATTTAGAGAATTTTAATGAATTGTCTCCTTTCCCGTCACGGGCAATAAGTTTTTTGAAAATTGAATTACTTTCGATGTGAAGACACCCGTGAACGCGACCGAAAGAGAGATGTGGAGTAGAGGAACGAAGAAAAAATCTCTGAAATTATTGCAGCGGTAGAGCCCCCATGGTCATCTGGGTCATCCACGCCCCATACATTCGGTTTGCTCGTTTTTTCCTGTAGATCAAATATTTTATAAACTTAGGATCGGCTCGTTTCAAAGAAATGAATAATTTGAAGAATATTTTTTTAAAAATAAATGTTTGTATCGTTTATTAAAATGAATTAACGAAAAATATTTTTCTTGTCAACGAAAATGTTTAGATATAAACTATTGTCAATAACGAAGACATGCTTCATTAATTAATTATTTCAATTTATAAACGAAATTATTTTTAAAAAAACATTTTTCAAATAATTTATTTTTCGCGAAACAAACGGAGCTTTAATCGAAACTCATCAGAATCACGTGAGAGTGAGCTCGGTGCAGTTGGAGCGTCAAATCAGACCAAAGCAAAGGCATACGGCTCGAAGAAAACTGAAAATTAAATCAAGCTGTATAATAGTTAAGAACAAAATTGAATCGAATCGTTTTTTCTTCTTTCATTTTCTCTAATTTCGAGAGGTTAAACTCACAAAACTAGATTAGGAGCATCAGACATTCACCTTGTTGCCAAAACGTTGAGCCTCAATGCACTTTCAATTATAGAGTAGAGGGGGGACCAATGCAACCACTCTAATCATGGAAACTTCTTTTGTTTTTCTTTTTCGTTCTTTTCCCTCTATTCAATATTTTTAAGGCTCTAACACGAATTTTCTTTCTTTTCTTTTCCAATGTTTCTACAATGTCAATACTTGCAATGACAATAGAGCACCATGGTTGGTGGTAGTGTACAAAACCAAAATGATTAGTAAAGACAAAAGGATTGAGGTAGCTGATGATTTTGCTGGTGGAGCATCGCTCCCGAAAATCATTCCAAAGTAGTCGCCATCCCCTCCGTTGGACCCGCTTCCTCCACCGCCGCCGGGGGTGGTGGTCGTGCTGGTCCCGCCCCCAGAAAACCCCGGGTAAGATATGCCGGCGCTGTTGTCCCTGTGACGGAAAGGGGGATAAGAAAAGGAAAATCAGGGACCCTTCTGAATGAATCATAATCCAAGGACAAAGTCATGACATCAGGTTAAGGAATTAAACAAAGGGTTATGGACATGATGGAGAAAAGGAGCAACAACAAAAGATTTTATTGCAGAGTCCAAGATCCTAGTGGTTGGAATAACGTTCAATCTTAGCTGAACTGGAAATTTGGCTGCATTATCTTCCTAAAAAATGCTCAGTCCCAGAGGGAAGCTTCCCTCACTGCTCTGCTCATCTCAAACTCAAATGCAGTCAAGTTGATGCTGGTCTGATACAGACAATGCAGAAAGAGAAGTGTATTTGATTGAACCTATCACTCAAAGCGCTTGCTTTTAAATGAGAAGACGCGCATTCACTAAATTAAAGGCCAATTGCAGTAAGGCACAGCTCTATTATACTACTGGGCCATCCTAGGTTCTATCAGTCTGTGTCAGCCAGCTTTTCTCTCTCTGCCTAATCAAGCGGGTTATTGACTTTTCTCACATCATTCAACACAGAAAAAACGATGCCATTCATAAGTCTCCTCTGTCAAATGTCATTTATCTGCAACCTAAAACAGAAGACTCCAGCCACTTATTCCAAGTTCTAGGAGCAGAGAAACTGGTAATGATAAATTTTGCTCTCGATTTGATGGAATCCCCATTCTGTTTCAAAATTGACACAAACCCACGATGGTTTCTTGGTTCTGAAAGCATTACCCAAGAGAATTCATTCAAGCTTCTCTATGAACTGGACTTTGGAAAAAATTATGACTTCGTTCAGAGAAGCCACTGATCTCCCCATAGATCTCGAGCTAGCATCAACATGGCCAAAAGGAAATCTAGTAATGTGCATTCTTTGGAAGATTTAGATCTGAGGTTCTCACGCCCAACCACGGTTCACCAGGTAACATCACAGCCATGAAATATGACTAACCCCAGCCTATGCTGACCCGGGTCCAGGCAAAGCATTCGCCCGAACATCCCAGGGTTTCAAAACAAGATCGGGCTGATGGGAGTTGGGACGAGGTACCATCTCTCTCCCTTCCTCTCCTGTTCAGGTGTGTTCAGACACAAATCCTGAGAGCATCGTTGGGGGGACATAACGGTAATAACATTGAACATACAAACGTGAAAAGCAGCTGACAGTAGAATAGGACAGACAGGGAACAAGCCACAAGGTCACTTTGGCGGAAAGCCTATTCTCTTTTCAAATTTTTATTTTATTTAGATGCTAACACCGACGCAGCTAGCTGTCTCCGTCTAGTTCATATCAGATCCCCCCACAGGTGGGTGGGGCCCACAGCACCTCCTAGTCCGACCTAATGAAAAATGCAATTGTCATAGGCAAGGTCCCACGAGTATTGGCTGGACAGCACATGCAGGGAATATGAACTGCGTACACACTCTCACTCACTCGCCTCTAACCCCAATACACACACAGACCCATTCGACCTTTTCTGGACTTTCCTGGGTGGCCATGTGACATTTTCTTTGACTATAGTGACGCAGCCTACAATTAGACCAGAAAAAGAAAACGAAAGGAAGAAAAAATCGCCTCCTTTATTAAGCCCTCTCGAACTTAGAGAGGCCTTTTTATCCTCCATGCTCAAAGTCACAAGCTTTTGACATGGAGACACTGGCTTTCCAGCTCAGATCCTCATGTCAGAAAAAGCAAAAAACCATCTCATTTTACACACACTATTGCTAGGCAGAATGGCCACATGGGTTGGGTTCACTTTACAATTACAAGCCTGGATGCCCATATTGCAAAAGCTATTCATCAGCTTGTGTGAGCCTTCTCATTAGACAAGGGAGTCTACTCCAACAGGTCAAGCCCTAGAAATTTAACTCGTCAAAACTTAGGAGAAAATGGCGTGCAAGTTACCCTGTCTAAACAACCCCGGGACAAAGATTATGCATTTTTACACCCTTTCACCTATTTTGTCTCAAAGCAATTGTCATTCGAACCAGTGACTTGAATTGGTAGAACAAAGTCTAGGACGTTTAATTGCAAAACAATGCGATGATGAAAGCATGCATTATATGGACTCGAATAGGTTCCGACTAGCATGTCCAGGGATTGGTCAAGAATCGCTAAATGGCCTACAGAGATAAAAGGGTAAAAAGTAGTGGGCAAAAAGAGGATTCACTTCTCCATTTGCATAAAACACAGAAGAAATCACTGCAAAGGAATGCAGATTATTGGATATCTGGAAAAGGCACTTAAGGAAAAGGACAACTGAACTGCAAGGCTGTTCAGTTGGCCCTCTCGAAAGATTCTCTAAGCCCCGCATGATCACGTGCAAAGATAGAATGACAAAAGATAGAACAAAGCTCACCATAATATCTGTAATAATATGGGAAAAGTATCAAAAAAGTCATAAACTTTTTGCATTTATTCCAATTAAGTCATAAACTTTTTTTTGTGTCAATTGAGTTATAAACCTTTTGTCTTTGTGTTAATTCAGTCCTTCCGGCTAATTTTGGCCGGATTTTGTTGAAGTGGAAGCCGGCCAGTCACCGGCGCTGACGTGGACAACTTTTAATAATATTTTAATATTTTTTTTGAATTTTTACTTATTTTTTTTATTGTTTTCTTTTCTTTTTCTTTTTTTTTTCTCCTCCAGCCAGTCGCCGGACCGACGATTGACCAGAGGCCTGCGAGGAGGTCGACCTCGCCGACCACAGGCGAGGCTCTCCCTCGCCGGCCACTGGTGAGGCTCGCCCTCGCCAGCGACGGCGGCTGGTCGAGGCCTGACCTCGCCCTCGCTGGCCTCTGGCCAGTCGCCGGGTGGGGGAGGGAAAAAAAAAAGAAAAAGAAAAGAAAGCAATAAAAAAAAGTAATAATTCAAAAAAATATTAAAATATTATTAAAAATTATCTACATTAGCATCAGCCGACCGGTTTTCACGTCACCAAAATCCAACTAAAATTAGCCTGAAGGACTGAATCGGCACAAAAACAAAAAGATTAGGACTCAATTGGCATTAAAAAAAAGTTTATGACTCGATTGACAACAATGCAAAAGGTTTAGGACTTTTTTGACACTTTTCCCGTAATAATACCGTATGCAGTCGAAAGTTTTTATCTTTTTATATCAGTAACTTTCATGATGATCTGGTGATTAGCTCCAAATGAAATTCCAGCGAAAACAACTTGCTTCTTCTTGTTTATTAAAAGGTTATGGATCAACAACAGCAACTGGGAAAGAGAAAAGCTGACAAACAATGGCGGAGACGACTTATACCCCCTTCATAGCGACAGCTAGTGACAGGTTCTGTGGTTGCCAATGTCTTTATTAGGAACGATTGCAAGGTGTTCAAACCGGATCTATATTCGGTCCATTGTAGTTTCGACACAAAAAATAAATAAATAGAATATCTTTGCCCCGAGAATTATTGACCCAATGAATTCAGAAACTGTTCCAATTTGTAGGTGCAGCGCACAAATCAGTCATTCAAAGTGAAGGGTGCCTAAGCAAAAGCCTATCTCGGATGAAAATTGCATTTGTGAAAAGCTGTATTCAAGTATAAATGGGACATGCCAAATCTACTTGACAGTTGAGATAGATACTTGAAAAGCAGAAGCACCAGTACTACCTCAGCGTGGAACTTATTTTCCTACCAACTAACCATGAACTCCACAGAAATCCTGATCATGAACCAATAAAGTATGATACCATCAAAAGTTACCATAATTTAGAGCTTAGCCATGACAAACCAATGGAAAGCTTTGTAACTTGGCGCGACTTTGTATAGATGTGTAATATAATCTTTTGAACTCGATATCAAATTATCATATCTCCATTCTCGCCCCCGAACTAGTGTATTGCAAAGTGGCCCTCCAATCTAAATCTCCAGTCCGACACGAGCTTAGCAGAGTGAATGAATCCACTTTTGAAACAAACAATGCGGGGAAAAGAGCATGCGAGGAAGAGAGAGAGAGAGAGAGAGTGGGCGTGTACCTAGGATCGCCGAAGACGCCGGCGTTCATGGTCAACTGGTTGATGAGGCCAGCAGACTTGGGCTCGATGCTGGAGGCCTTGGAGTACTGAGCGCTGAGGCCGACCCCGGACGGGACGAAGAAGGCGCCGTTCACCATGATGTCCCCCTCCGTTCGCCAGTTCCAGTCCGACCAATGGTTCTCCTCCGTGTCCACGCGCTTCGTCACCTGCGACGGGATGGCGTCATTGGGGCCTATCATGTCACATCTTTCATCTCGTAACAAAGAGCATCCCACAGCGTGTACGATTCGGAAATAATTGGCTCGAGTTTAGTACCAAAAGAAAAAACTCGCTGGCCGTATGGCTGTCAAGCACCGACGAGACCGCTGTCAATCTATCAAATGGGACGGACCAACTACCTACCAACGTCGAATACCAGGCTGGGACTAGCCCACAGACAGCGGCGTCTACACCCCACGCGCCGCCACAGCAAGCGGGGGAAACAGCCCTCGTCGCACGCAGACAAAGGACATCCATCCGTCCGCGTCAAAGCGCAGTAAAACAGAAGTCAAAAAAGCTCGATGACCCAAGCACCCTCACCTCCTAAAAAGCAGATTTTTATTAATGAATCCGAGAATGCCTCGAAGAACTCACTAACTTTCGTTCATTTTTCAACGCTGCAAGTCTGCCATGTTTCGTGTGATGCAAAGACTGTTCCAAAAATTTGATTTTTTTTAAATTTGTTAATCGTACTTAATGAATGCCTAAAAACGCTCCTGACGAGACGCGTGAAACCACCCCTCGGTACACGCAACGCTCCCTCACCTCCTTGGCGTCGGGGTTGGCCGGCGCCGTGTAGCGGTTGCCCTGGCTGTTGATGGTGGGGTTGCCGCTGCCGCCGATGGCGTACATCTCCCACGCCGTGAAGTCGTTGTTGACCACGTGGATGTAGCCCCGCCGGCACCGCGGCATCCGCTGCACCAGTGCCTGCCCGAAGTGGTTGAACGCGATGGTCACCTGCATCCCCGAGTCCGGGAGGTACTTGTCGTCATGACCCAGCAGCATCACCTCGTCGTGGTGCGAGAAGTAGCTGTTCGATATCGTGATCGCCGTCGACGCCATGATCGCGTCTATCAGCCCGTCGGCGCAGTACGACAGCGAGCAGTGGTCCACCCAGATGTGCGACGCCCCGAACATCGATATCCCGTCCCCATCGGATCGCCCGCGGAACCCGACGTGGGTCGGCGACGACCGGATGTTGGTATTGCCGGAGGGCTTGCAGTGGTGGATGTGGACGTTGTGGATGATGATGTTGGAGACGTATTGGACGGTGAGGCAGCCGTTGCCGGTGATTTGGATGTTGTGTCCCCGGCCGTCGATGGTCTTGAAATCGTTGATGATGAGCTCGTGCTTGAGCCGGATCATCATGTCGGCGGAGAAGATGATCCACAGGGGCTCCTCCTGGATGACCCCGTACCGGAGCGTCCCCGGTGTCGGGTTCACCACGTCCAAGTCCGAGGAGTCGGTCACCACGTAGATGCGCCCGTCGCGACCCCCCAGCGCAGACTGCCCAAACCCGATGCCACAGTCTGCCAGGCGCTGCCGGTTCGAGGCCCAGTTCGGGTCACACCGCCAGCAGTCGTCGATGGGGTTGCCGGTGCCACACGACGAGGAGGACGAGGACAGGAGTCTTCTTGAGAGGGAGGCATTCAGTCTCCTGCAAAGATTAAATTGCAAGGAAGGTTTTTGCTTTGTTCGAAAAACGCGGAAGGAATAGCTAAAGAAAGTGCGCAGGTGGGTTCTGTTTTTATTGTTTTTGGTGCTAGATGAGGAGCTGAAAAGAGGGCCGCGAGGCAAGAAATGAGGGCGGTTACCCACTATTTCCTATAAAATGTGGGAGAATGGAGAAGGCGTAGATGAGTTCTTTGCCCCTGTTTTTTCCCTTTAGCAAATGGCTGGGACTTGAGAGTGTATTGTGGAAATGCACTGCTCGGTGAGCTCAGAGGATGAGCTGAATGTGGCCCAAAAGAGAAAATGGAATGTGAGCAGATGGATGATTTGCTTGTCATGGTAAAAAAAAGGACAGAAACTCTCGAGGAAGAAAAATCTGGGGAGAAATCTTCTTGAGAAAAATAAAGGGGAAAATATCTCAGATTTGAGATTTGGGGAGAAAACAGAGCAATGTGGGTCAAAAAACAGAGTGGGTCTCTTGGCTTGTCCTTAGCCAGAAAGTTTCCAGGCCTTAGAAGACATTGCATAATGCGGGACGAATGCAGATGAGGGATTAGAGATTAGATAGACATACCTGTGCACATCTTGGACAACAGCTTCAGGGTCCGGGTGTTGGTGAGGGAGGGTGAGGTTCAGAGCAGCCGAGAGTGAGAGAGAGGCCAACAAGATGCACGCGGAGAGAATACAGGTGGTCGGGAACAACATCCTCATCCACTCAAAGGGACAACAAGCACTAATGAGGCAAGTAATGGGGAGGCGCTATTTCTCCTGGAGCCTAGCTGTTTGCTTCTCCAGAACCAGAACTAAAAAGGCTCCACAAAACCGCCCCAAGAAAAAAATTTAACAAATAAAAAGAAAGGTCCTTTGCTTTTGATGCTTGATGATATGTCTTCCTCTTCAAAACTTGGGAATCGGAGGCTGGGAGCTTGTGCAGGGGAGGTGGGTTTTATAACAAAACACACTGTCAACACCAGACAATATACCCTAACCGGAACACGACCCGACCCGATATGTCGGGTATTTTCGGGTCGGGTCTACTTCATGCTCGGGTATTATTAGCTAAGCAAACGGGTATCACATTGGTTTCGGTACGGTTTGTGTTTATGAACACGAACCGAACCGAGTCCAACAAAAAAAAAAAACCAAAAACCGAACCGAAACACATATATTGTTATTATACCGTCAACTCCATCCGATTTTGTTATTTTTCCTACGAAATGTACTTTCCGGATCGGGTTGGCATTTTCACAGGTCGGTGCCCCGCTCTCTCCCCGGGAGCGCCTGCTCGAGACTCCCCCGGAGAGAAGTCGCAGCGCCACTGCACAGTTCGCACCACCGCTGATTTTCCTTAGGTTATTAGCATTGATCTTCTTACCTAGTAGCTATAGGTCAGGCAGGATTAGTTTTTTTGCTTATGTTTTTGAGTTTAATTTTATCGGCTTGTCGGCAGATTCTTTTTCACTTCAAGCCATTGTCATTGGCGATGTTCTTAGTAATGTGCAATTTTCTATTATATTGAGAAGGAGCAACGTATTTTCATGGTCATTTTAGGGTGTTTTACTAGTCCGTGCGCATTGCTGCCATCCTCATTTGTGAGGAGGGAAGAAAGTGTAAGCATTTCCCTGAGAATGTCAGAAACATCACCAACAAACCCCAAAAAAAAGCAAACCTGAAAACCCGATCCGGACTGACCCGACCCGAGTTTTCAGTTTCGGGTCATATGTGTTTCGGATCGGGTCAGGTCAGACAGAGCGGGCATCCTTATGATTTCGGGTCGGGTTTCGACCCGACCCATTGGCACCCCTAGATGGGGACACCATGGGATCTGGAATGAGGAGGGTAGAGTCACCCCCCCTCTCTCTACACCCTAATCCTCTGTTTCTTGCAAGACCCTCTCAGTCACTCACATTCCTACCTTGGTTGTTAATCATTCTACACAAATAGTTGACAAACCAAATTGCTAGAGAGAGAAAGACAAAAGAGAGAGAGGGAGGGAGAGCATATCCAAAAGGATGAGCAAGTCATCTCCTTTTATCTGCATGAGGGATTGAGATTCTTTGCTGGGGATGGTGGGTAAAAGATGTCGCTGCTGATGGTTCTTCCCCAACAAGTGTGGGACAAAAACCCTTTTTCACCTTTTTTTTGAATTGGGCTTCCTTTGTTTCTTTCTTTCTATCTTTTTTGTGTGTGAGTGAACGTTTTTTATGATCACTGGGTCAGATTCTTCGCAGTTTTCATTGATTCAGTTAAAAAACACTGCGGAGGCAGGAGATGAGGCTCTTCACAATGGCTGCTGTGGATCTGTGAAAGGAGTTCCCTTTCGTTCTCTCTTTTGCCTGCGCAACGAGGAGCAAAAAGCACAGCGCAAAAGCCTTTTGTCATCAATTCTCAATGTCCTGCGATTGCCTTCTGCAAAAGCTTCGTAGCGGCATGATTGAGCGGATCTATATATAATCTTCTTTTGATAGTCCTAAACACGGACCAAGAGCTCTAACAATCTGAAGGTGCTCTGAACAACTCACAAAAGTTTAATGAACCCGGTTAAGTCCAAACTTTTGATCTGTACGGGCAATACCCATTCGGATGGGTGTTACGAACAGATAATCCCGAGCTGAAAATCCTCCACCATCCCATCCCATTGCGCCGATGCAAAGGAGCTTCAATTACCTTTATTTTATCAAAACATTTTCCTTCCAATTGGTAAAAATAGGTTAGATGATACAATTCGGCGATTTTGATGATACGGGTGGACAACTGCGCGGTGCTCCAAGAGCATCCACAAAATCCACAGATGCTGTTGGACTGGGGCAATTCGGGTCCTCGGGTCAAACAGATGGGCGTCGGCCTTACATCCATTTGGATCTGACCCAATGAGCCACCTTACCTTATCAATATTACACATAACCAGAAAACATGAGTCAATCTTTCTCAAGGTCTCTTATGAAAGCTTGACTTTACCTAATTGACTAATGAAGTTAAATAAGTTGAAAATCCTTTCTGCTAAGAAGATTACAATTGAAATTATCTCAACTGTTTAACTTAACTACCAAAGGGATTCGAATTTCGCAAGTTATCCACACTACTTTTTAAAAATAAATAAATTTACCGATGAGGATTTAGCAACGTTTTGTCATCCTAAATCTGATTCATAATGGACACTGGCAAATCCAGGAGGTCACTCACTCTTTTGAAGATTCTTAAACTCACAGTTTATGAAAATCATTGGATGAGCTGAAACTTTAGAACATGATCTTCATTGAACTCTCACTATGAACAAGATTAAACTAAGATAGAGATCGAAGAATACTCATCCGGGGCGACGCGATTTCGACATGTACAGCTCGAAAAACTAAAAAGGAAAAGATACAAATGTCGAAGAAGATTGGCTCGTCACCTTCGCTTGATCCGTCTCACTTTCTATCTTTTACATCCTCAGGATCATCAATGTTGGCATTGCTCAACGCAATTCGCTTCTCATTCTCGGCCATTTGATCTCTGTACCTCTTGTAGATATCCCCTTGGTAGTACTTCCTAGTCCTCATGACCAAAACCAGCAAGACAAGCGCGCCGAACGCGTTCACGCCCGCCAAAATGCTGAACGACAACCGGTAGCACCGCTTCCCAATGCAAGTCAGCTCCTTCAGAGCCGATCGGGTCAGCCCTCTGGCCGCGAGCTGCCTCGTAGCCTCCTGGTCGTACAGCCTCCCCACGACTAGCACGTTGAGGATGTAAGATCCGAGGGGGCTCGCCAGCTGCCCACAGTTGAACAGCGTCGAGTAGTACTTGAGCCCAAAGAGCTCGGAGATGATGATGAAGAGGAGCGTGAGCTGTGCGCCGTAGGAGAACCCGATGAGGAGGGAGGCGATGTAGACCGACCCGGGGGCGGGGAACGCGACGAGGAGGTCCCCGACTCCCGACATGACGAGCGAGAGCATCGTGATGACGGGGCGGGGCACCTTCCACTTCTCGTATATGATCTCCGAGATGAACCCAGCGAAGACCCGGCCAAAGTAGTTCCACACGCTCACGAGGGACACGAACGTGCCGATCGTGTGCTGCGGGTAGCCCAGGGACTCGCCAATCTGGCCAAGATTGTCGACCGCGGTCAGGCTGCATCCTAGGCCGCAAAACGTTGCCACAAAGAGTGTGATCATGTCCAAGCTCAAAAGGGCCTGCATGATTGTGTAGTCCGCACCCCTCTGGGGTGGCTTGAACACATCAGCACAGCACGAAGTGTTATTTGTATTGCTGCTCTCTATTTGGTCATTTGGATTGGCAACCTCTTGCTCTTCCTGCTTTGGCTGATCAGTCGCATGAATTTCCAAATCATGAGCAGCACTAGAGCCATCATCATCATCAGCAACAGGTTGTTGTGCCTTCCTCTGCTTCCACGCGGCCCACTCCTCCCTCACCGCGATCCCAAGGGGGAGGAAAGTCAAGACGCAGACGGCGACCGCGCTCGCCACGTAGGCCCAATGGGAGAAGCTGACCTGCTTCTGAGCGATGGTCAGGGCCATGATGACCAGCGCGAGCAGGACCGTGATGGCCAAGTACTCGTAGAACACCTTGAGCTCGTTGGGGTGCGTCGAGAGCTTCATTGTCCGGATGGTGTACACGAAGACGATCGAGATCACCGCCGGCAACCACCCGATCAGGAGGATGAGGGACTTGGAGTCGTCCCCGTAGATGGCGAAGTAGAGCTGGGTCATCATCGCGCCGCTCAGCCCCACGAAGCCCTTCACGAGACGAGAAAGCATTTCGCGTATTTTTGTTACGTTGCTGATGTGAATATTGACGAGAAATTATTAGTCATATACGAAATACCTTCATCAGGCCAAGCATGATGCCTCGGTTCTCGGGGAAGTTCTTGACACAGGTGACGAGGGAGCCCGTGTTGGCGAAGTTCTGGGAGTTGGCGCCGACGCAGATGTAGACGCACATCTGCCAGACCGTCGGCCGGGGGATGCGACGGGTGACGGCAAGCCAGATGAGGAAGTAGCCGGCGAAGTTCATGGTGGAGCCGATGAGGAGGACGAGCCACGTAGGGGCGACCTCGGCGATGAGGCCAGAGAGGACGCCGACGTTGGCGCCGAGGTCCTTGCAGGAGCTGAGGAGGTTGAGGGTCGACTGGTCGTAGCCGAGGGTGGACTTGATGTCCTTGGAGTAGACGCCGAAGAGGTAGGTGGCCCCGGCGCCCGCCATTATCAGGAACGACGCGAACATCATGAACCACCGCCCTCGGAGGACCTGGAGGACGAAGCGGCCTCCGCCGCAGCAGCCTCCGCCGCCGGTGGCCGTCGCCATGGGAAGATTCGTGGTCTCTGGGCAGCTGAAGCTTCTGTCTGCTCTGGAAGAACGTATCTAGAGCTGGCTAAAGGAGGATTTCAATGTGGACTTGGATGAGATTTATCGTTAAAATAGTGATGAGATGATGAGTTTGAGTTTGTTTAGAGCTTCTGAAGATTGAAACAGAGAAGATTTAGCCAAGCGGATAAGGTCAAAAATAGATTTGATCTTCGTAACTGCTCGTTTGCAGCGTCGTGCATGTTGAGTCGAGTTTAACGTAACACTTCGTAACTATAGAGATGGTTCGTTCCATCGGGTCCAATAGAAAAAAGAAAACCCGCACCGTATCCGTTTTGGTTGGAGCGGGTGAAGCCCGCAATTCATGAGTTCTATTGGGAAAATGACACAAATACTTAGTCCCTGAACTTTAATTCAATGAGTAATGTGATCCCCGAAATTTTAATTTATTCGATGTGGTCCCTAAACTTTAGCCTAATGTGCAATGCGATCCACGAAATTTTAATTTGTCCAATAAAGTCCCTAAAATTTTTGTACATATTCAAATTAGTCCCTAGATTATATAAAAATGTTTAGTATTGTCTTTGCTCTTGAATTAATGGAAGGATTACATCGAACATTTTCATATAATTCAGAAACTACATCGAACAATTGTCAAAAGTCTAAGGGACCATATTAAACAAATTAAAAATCTAGAGACCACATTGAACATTGGGCTAAAGTTCAGGGATCGCATTGCACATTACGCCAGAGTTCATAGACCATTTGTGTCATTATGCCAGTTCTTATTGGTTCAGACGGGCCCGAAATTTTTGACCCGTGATGGGTCGGGTGGATCCAGTTGGGTCGGCCCATGCCCATCAATGGTCAAAAGCCGTGGGTCGTGGAGGGATTGCGTACGCAGAGTCCATGAATGGGAGTCTCTTTTGTCTGGGCCATTTTGCCTTCTTGGGCTCGAGAGAACTCTCCTTGAGTAAACATGCGACCATGCCGACAAGTTTTCTTAAAGATTCTAATCAAAATTAGGTAATTAATCATACGAGAAATATTTTTTTTTGTGAAGGGATTAGGGGAATCTCCTTGTCCTTGAAATCACAAGACAGTTTTGTCATTGGATTTAATTCAACTTGACAAGCCAAAACAAAACAACATTTGGTTTGCTCACATTTTTTTTTAGTCGAAAGAAAATTGTATTTATTACTTAAAAAAATACATGAGAAGTGCCTAGATTTCATGGCAAAACAAATCGAAACAGAGCAAAGTTCAGAATACTGCAAACCAAAGCCTAATCCAGAAAACAAGGAAGATCAACAAAGTAGCAGCAGGGTTAAGCACACACTTGTTCCACAAGAACAAATCTGTTAAATAAAATAATCAGAGGTCAATCACTAGATCTCGTATCTTCGTTAATGATGAGCACACATCAGAAATTCCTTCTTTAATAACTACGACGGTGTGCGTCTAGGTTCGGCTTCCTCTACCATCATCGTATAGAGACAACCGAAACAGGTTGAACAATCACAAATCCAACATTTGGAAGAGCAAATCTTTGTGATTCAACGAAATGCCAGTGCTTTTGCTATCACTATTGAATTTGGAGGCAAATGACCTCTACACAGACAGAACTAAGAGGAATCGAATCCCCAAAAGCATATTTATTAAACTCCAAGATCAAATCTAAATCAGGATAGGATAGCTATCAGATTTAGAATTATATCAGGAGAGTTCAAACTTTTAAATTTAGAACTAGACCGGGAGAAGAGAACTCCCAGATCTAAATCGGGAGAGAAGAAAATAATAATAATAATAATAAAATACAAATAAAATCAATAAGAGAGGGAGGAGAGGGCGAGACTACCTCAAACCCTCCCATGACAGAAGGTTGAAGAAGACCATGTGTTGTTTTTTTATTTTATTGTTTTTGGGTCGTGGACCATGGTGTTGTTAAGTAGTGCTTTTAAGGACATTGGGTAATGTTATTTGATAAGAGGGTACCTCGTTATTCTAATCCTCCATACCGCAACTTGTCTTTATTTAATCGCTTAATATGCATGTTTGAAGAATTTTGTTAACGAGTAAACATGAGAAGCTTGTTAAGTTTTACGTGAGGAGGAATTTTACGGTTTCAAAGCATTATCACGAGCACAATCGATGCATTTGGAAGCGTGAAAAATTCCTTAATCGGCTGCTTAACAAGTGTTCATAAGGAACTTGATAAAACAATACATCTTAACTATACTCATTTATAGAAACCTAATTCGTGAACTGGGTGTCCTGAAATCATCTTTTCTTATCGCAAGCAATACCTAAATGTGCGGTCACGGAGATACACCAATGGTCTTGGGTACAACTTGTCAATTGGCAATAAATTGCAATCGAATCACATCGTTTTTGTCCATTCATTTGACTAGTTATATAAGGCTAACGAATTAAAAATTTGGCTCGTTGATTTGTGCTTCAAATGTTCGATAGGTTAGTCAAATTGCACGACCTCAAACTAGTATGGCTCCTTCCCAAGCCGGCATGTGTGCGTGGATGGATGAACCGGTCGCAACCACAATCGGTAATATCGCAACGGCGAAAGGTTCAAGCGGATCGATTGCCTATACAGTCGATGGCTAAATAACAATAAAATTTCATGTTATGTTTGAGTAAAATAATCCCTCCTTGACCCCGAAAACCCATTTCGCCATTAAAAATTTCTTCTCATTACTCAAAAGATTCATCAGATCTGGTGCTCTTCCAAAATAATAACAATAAAGAAAGGAGTTGTTTAGGCATGTTCTACGGACATATGTGAAGGCGACGACCATTACGCCCGATATTTCAAAGGTCCACTTCAAGCCCGATATTTCAAAAACATCGGGGCCGACATATTCAAACTTAGGAAGTAGGAAAAATAGCCGTTCCCGAATCGAGTATCTTTAGTGTAATCGGGTCAAGGAGGGATTATTTTACTCAAACATTAGATGCAACCAAGGAAACAGACAAGGGACAAGTAGGATCCCCCCATCAAGACTTGCAGATGAGAAAGTTCAATCTTCAATGTCAGATCAAGACCGTAACCAGTAAAAAAACTACTGTATCCAGAATCCAGATCGACATGACCTTTCCCTACTTGTTCTTAAATTAATCTTCTTCTTCTACCGAGAGAGAATCGAGCCCTTTGAATTTCCCTTACACGACCACAGAGGGAAACTGTGTCATCTTGTACAAAAAGAAAAATTTTATTGTACAGATCGAGTGCGTGCACTGTGTGTTCCATCCGAACCGTTTTATTTTAACCCTTCGTGTTAAGCAAGAGCGTCGATTCCTACTCTTAATCTTCCTAGGATGCCATACGAGATAAATGGCCGGTTTCCGAAAATTGAGCGGTCGGGATAACGGGTCGGTCGTGTATATACTCGCAAACACACTTCTTAATAACATGCAAGGTAAACGAACATACGTGATCAGGTGGATTATACATTTCTTCGCAACGTCTTTGTTTTCCGTCATTCATCGTAATCTATCATTCTCCATTTCTGTATGTGTACATCTCTGATCAATCTTTCTGCTAATAACATTAAAACCCTCAAAAGGTGCAATTTATTGTGATGTCTCTGATTTTCTCTGCCCACCTTTTTCCTCCGTTGTCGCTATTGTCGTCGTCATCCCGTTATTCATAGCCATTTCCGTCTCGGCCGCCTTTGCCTCCTCCCTGAACTTCTTGTAAATATCACTCCTGTAAAACTTCCTCGTCCTCACGACCAAAATGAACGACACGAACGCGCCGAACAACGTTGCAAACGTTATTATGAGAAACGCCAACTGATAACACTTGACCCCGTTGCAGTTCAAGTCCTCGCCGGACTTCCGGACAAGCCCTAGTGCGGCCATCTGTTTCCTGGCTTCTTTGTCGTACAAATGACCGGCCACTCTAACGTTGAGCAGGTACCCTCCGATGGGGCTCGCCACAGAGCCGAAGTTGTATAGAGTCGAATAGTACTTGAGCCCGAAGATTTCGGATATGATCGCGAAGAGCAGTGGCCACTGCGCACCGAAGCAGAAACCAATGATGATGGATGCGAAGTAGAGGCCGTTCGGGACATTGAATGCAATCAGGAGGTGGCCAGCACATGAGATGACGAGGATGATCGTGAGCATTAGCGTGCGTGGGAATTTGTACCGTTTCAGGAGGATCTCAGAGCCGAAGCCAGCGACGACGCGTCCAAGGTAGTTCCATATGCTGACGAGGGACACGAACGTGCTCGTGCTCCGAGTCGGATAGCCAAGTGAGGACCCGATCTGGCCCAGGTTGTCAATGGCCGTCAACGTCCCCCCGACGCCACAGATGGTGGCCAAGAAGAGGATCAACATATCTATGCTAAAGAGAGCTTGGAGTATGGTGTAGTCTTCACCTCTGTCCGGTGGCCTGAACGCCGTTCTCCAGCAAGATGGTTGCTTTTCCAGCTGCTCTCCGTCGTTTAAGACGGCAGTAGGGGGTGCTGTCTCCGGGGGAGGTGGTGGTGGAGGGAGGAACGTTTCCAGGTTCGGCTTCTCGGTGTTGATCTCGATTGGGGACGGGTCGTTTAGGGCTTCTCTCTTCTGTTCCCATAGTTTGTATTCCTCGATGGCGACGATGGCGAGTGGCAGGAAGAGCAAGAAGAGGACACCAGCAGCGGAGAGACCATACTCGGGGCGTGTGAAGCCATTGAAGTGCTTCTCGATGATGATCATGATCATGAGGAAAGTGGCCAGGCCAAGGGAGATGTAGAGGAAATTGTAGAAGACCTTGAGCTCGTTGGCCTGGCGAATCACCTTCATGATCCGGATGGTGCGGAGGAAGACACATGATATGGCGGCTGGCAGCCATCCGATGAAGAGGATCAAGGCCTTGGTGTTCTTGTAGTAGACCGCGTAGAATAGCTGCGTGATGATGGCTCCGCTCAGGCCAACATAGCTGCCCGAAAAAGTTCACAGAAAATGAATGATTATTCGAAATTCCTTAACGTATCAAGCCAAGCTCTTGTATCTATTTTTGAATCAGGAGGTTCAAGAGATCAGGAAACTTATTTTCATGACAAGGGTATGAGTTTATACTCGTCTCTCGTTTTTGGGTAAGGAAAGAATGCACAGTGCATGACCATATCTACCATATGGTTGAGTATACGCATAAAGTTAGAAGATGCATGCAATTGAAGCGAGAAAATTTACAAAGAACATAGTAATAAAGAGCAAAACTTGGCAGCGCATAAACAGCAACAACGCGTCGAGTGAACTGGTATTACAGCTT